GCCACACCCCCTACTGGGGATCGAGCCTGCAACCCGGGCATGTGCCCTTGACCAGAATCGAACCTGGGACCCTTCAGTCCTCAGGCCGAGGCTCTATCCACTGAGCCAAACCAGCTAGAGCGGAAGTTTATTTTTATTATAAACTCTTTTGTACTCTTTCCTCTTTAAGTGCATAATTCTGTTTGGAGTCTTGGATGAAAAAGCATGAACACTTTTCTTCACCTCACAGGGCTGCTGGGCTGAGCTAAGGCTTGGAGTAGAGAACATCACCGCCAACATGCTGTCGGGACTCACACCTCCTCCCCACTTCAGCCCCTGACCTGGCACAGGCTCAGAACCTCCACCCTGGCCCCAGGCGAGGGCTGGTCCTCTCCAGTGTCTACCACACTAGGCCTAGAGAGATCTCTCTGGTACCCAGATCTGCCCAGCCTCCTCCTGCCCAAACACTTCCTGTGGTTCCTCAATGTCCTTGGGTTAAAATGGAAGCCATTAACATTGCTTCAAAGCCTTCCACATCTCTCTCTTCTTGTCTCCCTCCCTCTCTTCCTTCCTCCTTCCTTCTCCCTTCTCTCCCCTTCCTTCCCTCTTCGCCGTCCCTCTCCCTCTGCCCTTCTCCCCAACTCCCTCGCTTTGCCAGGACTGTCCCTTTTTCCCAAACTGGGCCAGGTCAGTAGATCCATGCAAACATCTACTGATCAGCATTCAGGGTCACAGCGGACACACTCCTTCCGCTCTCAGCCTTGCCCATCTTACTGTCAACTCCGGGCCCTGAGCAGGGACTGTTCCCGCCCAAGCCTGGAGCTCCCAGAAGGCAAAGGCTGGCTGGGTCCTTTCTGGGCCTCCAGGATGGAGAAGGGGGCCGGGGAGAATTGGAGATGGCACCGTGGTGCAGATGGGGGACAGTGTGGCAGTGTTTGTTGAAGAGGGACTGGATGGGGGCAGATTCAGGTGTAACTGGGCAAGAGTTGAGTGGCTCTCTGCCTAAGGGTCCCCTGGGAATCTTGGTCTAAACAATATGGAAGGAATTAGGAGGCAAGAGATAAGTAAAAATATAGGTGGTGAAGATACTTGAAAAAAAAAGTGATATCAGAGAGGAAAGGAAGGGAGTGAAGGAGAAGATAACTTACTGAAATGCCCTCACACATTGTCCCTAATTTTCTCAGCAGCCCTGATCTTTCTGTCCCCAAAGCCTGTAACCTTTGTCCTGCTCTCCAGGCTGGGTTCCAGACCCTGCCTCTGGACTCTGCTTCCATTCCCACCAAATGGGAGGACACAATGACAGAATCAACCAAAAGATCTTCCCTCTTCCCCACTTTGGGGGCAGAGCCAATGAGAGGGGCTCAGGAAGAAGCCAGGAGGACCTGCACTCACCATTCCATCTCTTGAGGCTCTCGGTCCCCCAGGAGTTGTTGCACCTCCTGCCGGCAGCGCTCCTGGTATTCCGGGTGCCTTGCGAGGTTGTACAGGACCCAGGAGAGGCCGCTGGCTGTGGTGTCATGGCCTGGGAGGCAGTCAGACAGGCTTGGGTCTCTGGCACCAGAAGGTGGGCCGTGCCCTTATGTGAGGCCCTCGGGGAGGATGGGGAGGAATGGGAAGGATGAGGCAGTCCAGGGCCCCCTGCCAAGTCCCTGGAATAGACAGACCCCTGCCCCCTCTGCACTCCCACACTGGGGCCCTCACCCTCAAACATGAAGGTGTCCGCTTCATCTCGAATGTCTTCATCTGATAATGCCTTCCCATCTTCATCCTGGAGAGAAAGCAAGACTCCCCAAATGACAGCAGCTCTGGTGGCCCCTGAGGCAATCTCTGAAGTGCCATCATCCATTCAGAAACCTAAGCCCACACTGCACTCCAGACCTCCCTTTCTCACCAGCACCAAGAGGCCTCGACCCGGAGGCCTCCTCCTTGGCATCATTGCCTCCTGGTGATGAGGGCTTTCTGATTTAAGAAAAGTTACTGGCACCCTGGGTTACAGATGATTGAATTGCCTTGGAAATTAGACAGTGAGCATTGCCCCAGAGCCAGGGCTCGCATTCTAGGATGGCCAATCCAGAGGCTCTGTCTTCGCTGGAGATGAAGAATGGGTTATAAATCTATACAAACTGTAGACTGCCTTCTCAAAGGATTTGTTTATGCTCCGAAACCATAATAACCTCCTCTTCCTCCTTCTTCCTCCTCCTCCTCCTCCCCCCACCTACTGAAGAAAGGGCAGATGTGTCAGCTGTCCCATGTAAGTTCTAAAATTCAAAAAGTGCAGGACCTCTCTATGATGCAAGCACATGGTAAACATATCATGTAGCCCTGAGAAGAATGTGGGAGTGGGGAACCAGGGCTATAGTTCTAACCTGGCTCCTATTACTGCCATGAGTAATAGTATATATATTCATGGTAGACTAACTTATTAAGTTGAAGGTAGAATTAAACCTAGGCCCTTCACAGTTTCAAACTTAGCAATCCCCTATAGGTTACACTGCACACAGTCACCTCTAAAACTCATCCCTGATTATCCCCCCCCACCACCTTCCTCAAGCACCCTCCATGGCTCCCCAGTGCCCTCTGCATCAAACCCACGCTCTTCAATTGGACATTTGAAATCGTGTCCATTCTTCCTTTGCCATTCCGATGCCACAGGAGCCCACCTTGGTCAGCAGGAGCACATCAATGAAGTCCAAAGTCTTGGTCCTAGCCTTGGCCTCCAGGAAGTCCTCCACACCCTGGTCAGGGAGGGAGGGGGTCACCAGGGCACTGAGCTCCAAGATGGCAGCAATATATTCGCTGGGCCTCCTGCAGGATGAGGGCAGGGGGGGAAGCAACTTAGTTCACCTAAAGCCTGAGGTGGTCCTCCCACCAGAAGCCA